AGTTCAGGGTGCTTTCGTTCAGCCGAAGAGGAAGGCTTAGTTTGTTTGCAACCTTAGTGTATTAGTGAAATTATGAGGCGACCAAAATATTTTGAGTTTGAAACTGATCAAACTTAAAAATGTATGGACGATATATTGAAGAGGTTATGATTATTGATAGACATCAGCTGTAGTTAAGTTAATATACGGAAATGTTTGGTGTTTCGAAGATCAATGTTATAATTTTCATTGAATTTTTTTTTTTTAATGTGCCATCTCATTGGAATTATCAACCATATTCTAATCTTATGACCCCAATACACCAGTACTCCACTATAATGAATCACACCTATACCATTTATCAAAATAATTAAGCACTCAAATATTTTTGAGCACTTCCAGCTGTCCCAATCTTCGTATGACTAACATAATATTACATACCTAGTTATTGTTATTCGGTATTATTGGAAAAAAAAACATTAAAAACAGCTTTATGATTTTATTTTCACATAAAAAATAACTTTAAAGGTTAATTAATTTCCATATTTCAGTCCGCAAATGTACGAATCGTGGGCTTTATTTATTTTTACATCAGGTTGTTATAATTTTACTCTACTCGGTGAGTTAATTGTGTGCTGCTACATATTTTATGCAAATTTCAAACAAGTATTTGTTACCATTGTCTCTATTTGAGTAGGTATAGTAGTTTTTTTTATCAGGTACTTTAATTTTTAATTTATTATGTAATTGGTAGGGAAATTATTCGTTAAATATTATTATCGTCAGTCCCCGCAACTTAAACCCTTTAACTATATTTTACCTGCATGTGTAATGTGTTTTTAGAGCAATCGTTTTATCAAAAATTCTGTAATTAAATACATATTGTACTAGATTTAAATAAAATATGTTACTTTAGTTTCTATATATTATATTATTTGTATTATATTTCACATTATCTTCGTGTTATTATTATTATATGAGTAAAATAAATTGAACAAAATGTAGGCGCACCCATATTATTTATTATTCGGCAATTATTATTTATTGATATAATATTGATATTGTGGCTTGGCGTTGCACGTTGGATGCTACTAGTCGAATTCTGCGACTGGGAGTAAGTAACGGCCACAGCTACTAACTCTTGGATGGGTGACCACCTGGGTTCATAGTAGTTAAAAACCTTGCCACACATACACGTGTTTGTTACCTACCGTAACATCCGTAAGAACAACCTACCGTACCAACCTTACCCCTACAGCAGCTAATGGCCTTTGTCGCCACGTTGAATAATAATAAAAAAAAAAATAATGATATTATAATTTATAGTGTAAGACGTCTAGGTGTACAAATGTAAAAATTATAGGATGACAAATTAATAATTCTAAAAGAAGTTGATGACTAATAATTTTTATTGAATAATGAAGGATGAAATAGATGTAAATATATTATTTATAAAAATATTATGTTTTATACTCTATATTTATACATATATATATATGTATAAACAAAACATCAATTGAAATAACCAAGAACTAATATATTGGGAGTTTGAAATGTTATTTATTTTTATTTTTCTATGTTTTATACACTATTGTTTTTTTTTTTTTTTGATCTTGCATTGGTGAGTATGGCCATTCCTATTTTTATAGAGGGTTACAGTTGGTTGAGGAACATGTGTATGAGGGGCGAGGATTCTTCACTAGAAACCTTAATGGTCACCCATACGGGAACTAGCGACGCCTGGCGATACTCGATCTTAGAACATGTAGTGACTGAGGCCAACCATCGAGCCACTCCATTCTCCATTATTTACTACTGTCAATCGGTTTCTGCAAGATGTGAGATAATGATAAAAAAATTCGATCAATGATAAAATATTTATTTAAGCGATTCAAATGGATAAATAAATAAATTAGCATTGAGATAACACAAACGAGCACACGATAATCGTTTTTATGGATAGCAATTACACCGATGTAGGAGAAGTAATTGTCTACATTTCACTAGTGACGAGTGATTTAATTCATTTGAAATGCTCAACCTTCACCTAAAACATTTTGTGCCAAATCGTGTTGTTCAGAGAAGATTAATGTTTTGAATAGCTTTTTTCTGTTCTTTATAAGCTAAATGTTAAGAGCTGAGAATAGATTTTTAATTGCCTTGTTTTGTACAGTTTATTGTTAAAATAAATAATATAATGACTCTAATAAAGTGTATTTAAGAAATCTGTTAATTTAAAAAATGATGTATTAGGTGAATGTCTGGATATATTAAATTTAATAAACAAAAAAACCTTCAAGTGAGCATGATACTATAATTTGTTGACTTTTTTTGAACTGTAGATAAAGACTAATCAAGAACCTTGTATTCAATTTTCATGCATTTTTCACCGAAATACACCCATTTGTTAACATTAATTAAATTAATTAAAAACTATTTCAAATGTCTATAAATATGTCAATAATTTATAAAATATTTAAAAAAAAATATTCCGTTAAAAAAATGCTAATACCGCTGGTACTTGGTGAAAATCTTATGTCAACTATATACGATTGTTTCTTATTGCAGTACTAAACTCATATGCGTTTCAACAAACCTGGTGTTGCGTAAATATTCTGGTTTGACTATTTTAGACTAGAACCAATTTGCTGCTAGAGACGCCTGCAGTGAATGTTGACGATTGAATCAAATTTAGTACCCGCCTAATATCTATAAACTGCTCCAAAAACGTGATGCTATAAGTACAAAAAATAAAAATTAATGGAAAGAATTGTTCAATTCTAAAAAAACCTTGTAACTCACTCTGTAACGAAAAATTAATTTAAAATTAAATTCAATGATAAATCATATATAGGTACTAGGTAGGTATATGAATATACGACGAACAACGATTCTTTTATATGCTGTTGATACCATTCAATTAATGTAAATATATTGAACATATCATTTTATCTATATGTATTATGTAGTAAATAATAATTACGTGTAAGTTATTAACGCTTTTTGAATAATCACAAAATAATAAAAATCGTTTGGGGATAAATATCCAATACGTCATCAACATTTGAACTACAATTGCTCATAAAAATAATGTGTACGAAAATTGTTCTTTTTAAATACCAGTAAAAGCCTTATTTATATATTTCCACTGCACTATACCCAAAATCATTTAAATAAAGACTCAAATTTATAAATCATTTCATTAAAAAAACAATACATTCATTGCTTTACTTAGAATCTAGTATTACATTTCAAAGTGCAAACTACATCCAAATACCAATCTATAAAAGATCTATAGAATCTTCTTCCGTCGAAAAAAGCGTAAAATAACGAAAACACTAATCATTGTAAACTTGTATAATTTATAATATTCCTTGCATCGCTTAAAATCTAATAATGTGAAAATTTTGTGTATGCGCTTGTGCATTTAGCATTGAATTTTAAAATATTTTTGTTTTACACAACTTTCCATTTGAACGCGATGTATAAACATTTATTTTTTTTGTTTATTTTAAAAACGTCATTATCGATTGAATATCGACAAACACTTTACGTTACTACACTTTGTATTCCTAAAGAGTCCATAATTTTTGTCTAACGTACAAAAAAAACTATTTTTTCATATTTAAGTGTTAAAAAATATTGCATAATACATATATATCATATACACACATTTTAACAACATAATAGCATGGCGTCAGCTTTGTTTTTATAAATGTATGGTTATCTGGAAATTATAATGTAGCGTGTCTTTATCTATCAACATCTATATCAAAACGGTCGTCTCGTCTTTTTGTATAGTTTCGAAATATTACTGTTAAATTAATAATAATTCTTGTACAATATGATAACCATAACTGTCTAACTGTATGTAGGTAGTATGTAATGTAGTATTGATTCTCTTTCATTATTTTTTCTATCAATGTTTTTGAAAACAAGTAATATTTTTTATAATTTATAACATATCAAGTAAATTATTACCGGCTGTTGCTAGGAAATATGCAAATTAGTTAAACCACGTTGTTATAAAGTTTGTCTAGTTACGATTCATATTAATTAATAAAGCATTTAATATCTTCCTCGAGAATATATTATAATATCATATTTAATGTATAGAATAGGTATTAGGTATCTACTATTAATTATTATACTTGTAACGAAGCAAAACATTCATTTTTCCTCGGATTACTTAGTATCTTAGTGGCCATTATACGCGTGCATATCTGTTTCTTATTAAAATGCTTACCAATTTGTTTATTCTATGATTTCTGGTTCTATTCAATTATTTTGACATTATATCCATTCTCATCTGTATTTGTCTCATAATAGTTTTTGTTAGGTTTTATTATGTTTTAGGTTTCCTTATTCCATTTTTTACAAATCATGGCAGATTTTTATTCTATTGAATCAATACTTCAAATTTAAGTGTTTTGATAATTTATTGAAGTATATGCGCTATATTATATCATTTCATAATGGCTGTATACGCAACTACCAGCTATTATAGTGTATTCAAACAAATGGGTATCAAAAAAAATTCTAAGTATTTTTATTGTCTAATACTTTTAAGTACAAGTTAATAATAAACTTAATATAGTTAACTCTTTATATCTTGGGTAGGTATATTAAAGATATAATACGTAGGTAGGTAGTATTCACTATAAAATAAAAAGTATTCTAGTAATCTATCTAGTATTCCTGTAATTTTAAATCTACCATTTAATAAATATTACTTATGTGTAAATTATTTAAATTTAAATCTTTAATAAATGTTGTTTTCGGATAATATAAGTGTTTAACATTGGAACATAGTATAGCATTACAATTATATTGTTTATCTAGTATTTTAGTGTTATTAGGTACTTATACTAATGTATACGATTGATGATTTCGAATAACTTTAAATGGTAATTAGAAAATGTCATTAAACTTTAATCACTAATTTAAGTTTGTTTTTATATATTTCACGTTATTTGTTTATAAATGTGTTATTTATTTGAACTTTTAAACATTTGTTTCAGGTTAGTAGTTGTATATGGCCCTGTTTGACAAGCTCGGCTGCAACAGGTAAAATAAAATGTAATGTTGTTAAATTTTTTATATACTATTTGGTACTGCGCCCATTAATCATATTATTATACGGTCCACATTATACATCAATATTGGTATAAGTACTGCATGCATCATTATTAAAATATACTTACACTTATAACTATGTGATCGATATTAACCGGTAAAAACAATTATAAAATGTGTTATGGTTGCAGCAGATTGGCATCGGTTACTATGTAATAGTTACTTATACCGTATAAAATGTATGAATAAAATGTATACCTACATATTATAATCAGCACACAATGAGAGATTGGGAGACGTGTGGCGTGTTCGTGTTTTAGATGATTTAATTGTTAATTGATGCATTGAGAGTAGTAGGTTATCGAAAGTCCCAACCGAGGAATACCCTCCTACCTACCCAAAGAATATCGTGTGAAGTTCAATTGTGTTTTGCAGACGGTTTGCATAGACGACCGTTAGTTAATTGGTTAGGTTAGCAAATGGGCAGTGAGTTGGTTAAGCAATATCTGCAACTTGGCTAATATATATATATATATATATATATATAGGCATACGTACCTACGCGTAGTGGGAAATGTGAAAGGTGAATTATTGGCCAACTTTGATTTGTTCTATTTATTTATTTATTTTGCATTATAATATGTATTGTTGAAAATTGTTTAAGCTGATGGATTGTGTAAAATTTAATTAAATAACCATAACTGTATTTATTGTGTCTACATTTATGTCTGGGCAGCACTGCATACGTATACCTATATCTATATGTATGCGGTTGTTCAACCTAATGTAATGCCATAAATAAGGCTTAATCATTTCATTAGTAAGATTTGGTATTTGGAACTTGATATTTAAATGTTATATCGTTCAATCGAATAGGTATAAAACAGAAAAGCACGTGCCTTCACGTATGTTTGCTAAGCTAATTACATTTTTTAAAAAAAGCTCAATAGTAATAAGATACCGTGGTAGATTATTATTTAAAAAAATTGTTTACGATTTAGATTAAGTTGGATAATGTTTTGAATGTTATTTATACTAAAAATAACCAACGTAGGTACTAAATTAATGGATTATAAAATAGTGACAGTTAATATATAAGAATATAAACTTTGCAAAATTTGTTATTTAGTTCATAATATATTTCTTATTCGAATCATACATTGCAATTTACAGCTATTTGTTATTTAATATTAAGTACACATCACGGCTTAGATGGATTCCGCCCATCTATATTATTGTTATTGTATACATTGCAGACTGCAGTACATTTAATCAATGAATAAGAGTAGGTACTTATTTCAGAAATCAAACTTATTGAAGGTAATAGCGATTGAGTATGGTTGACCCCATTTTGTTAGTATAAATAACATAATATCATCGTAAAAAATAACGATGGGTATACCTATATTTCAATTACATTTTGAATAGTTTAGAGTACAATTAGGGAAATAATTAATTCCAGTAACCTACATTGTGAAAACGAGGGAACTAAACGCATTTTGTACTTTTCATTTATACGATTAAATTATGTTTAAATAAACTAATTTAAATATACCTACACAATTAATCGAAAGTAGTATACGACATTGATTGATCTAAATAAATTAAAATGTTTATATTAAATATTAATAGCACAATTAGAGATAATTCAATATGTCAATATCCAATTAAATATGTATTCAATTCATTTGGTGGAAATTGTTTTAGTAGTCTACAAATTCCACTACTTTAAATTAGTTTTTGTTTTTATTTTACGTATATTATATCATATTATACCTACTTGATTTTTTTGATTAAAAAATGTACTCTTTAATTTTGAATCCATCCATGATACCTTAAGTGTAAAGATTTTAAATGTGTATACAGCATGTTATTATGAAAATATTCAAAGATTCGTTTTTCACATTTGAATAATGTGTTGAACATTAACATACTCTAAAACTTGTTTTATCTACTAAATGGAATCTGGTTATTATTAATATACCTAATATAATATATATATCTTTGTTTCAAAAATGATTCCATTAAAGTATTTTATTGTTCCTACTCGTCCTTAAATGGCTTAATATTTTATAAAATTATGTTTCATTGAAAACACATAAAACACTTCTGTTTATGTTGAACCATCATCGTTACCTAGTATGTTTCCGTGTAACGTTATATGTTATACGTATTCTAAAACGTATATGATAATATTGTTATAAGATCTGTAACAGATCTTTTGTATGTATATTTGTGTTTAAAAATAACAAGAAACGTGGTTTTACGTACTTTGTTAATCGTTGCAGTCTTTGTTTGATTTAATTTGGCGATGAATAAAAACAGAATTATTAAATTAAAACGGTGAAACACACGGGGTACCTAGCCCGGGATTTATACACACTCTTTATAATAATATTATATACCTACTCCATTATAATTGCGCGGTGGTTTACCCACTGCGGTGTATATTATGGTGATATGAATTTCATTACTGCGCACCATTTCATATTATATTAGTTAATATTCCCGGGGAATCGTGTTTAATGTGCATATTATATTGTGCACCATGTACAATGTACATGTCATTTATTATGTGGCATATGGATATTATACTCGTAGTGTCGTTCGAACGATTAAGATCCGATGCTGTTCGTTTCGTTTAGTCCGTTCGAATAGTCTCATCCAACGTCTTTATATATAAATATATAATATACGTATATTATAATACATGCAATGTTTCATTCGTTTATTCTTTATTATAATACTGTTTGGGGGCAAAAAAACATGTCTTGTTAAAATGCTATTACATAATGTATGTACTATATACGTAGATACTAGATATCTACCTCCTAAGACTTATATTCGTAAGCCTACCTATCTCCAACGTGACAGATAACGACTATGGCCACTATGTAGGCAGATATAATAGGTATGCGCAGTAATCACGCTAATTGTTTACCTGTAGCTTATATTTTAATAGTATAAGAAGGCGTTTTATTCTACACACCACGTGTACCTATATTATTATTATTATTATTGTTCGATGTCGAATTATCTTGTATTCGAGGCAAATCTTCGGAACGATATTATTATACAAGACTGGATTAAAACTCAATATTTGAAAACTTTCAATAATTTTTAGACAGATTAAAATATAAAAAACTTTAACAAGACATGCAATGCGGACGCACAAAGTGTGGGTGCGATGGACCAGGTAAAAACGTTAACACCGCCAAACAACGAACGAGGTGGTTTATGGAGGGGCGGGTTGTCGCCGTTGTGGCAGAGGGGAAGGGTTGGGTAATGGAAAGTGTGTGCGCCTTGACCTACGTCTTTGCGCATGCGTGCCGACGTCACGTTTGTAAACGTCCGTTGGCGGAATTCAAAAACTCGCGAGCGCCCGCCGCCGCCGAGGGAACTATTACTGCCGCGTCTCCGTCTTTTCCGTCGCTGCAGTGTTGTTGTTACCGCCGGTCCGTGCGTCCGCGTGCATTGTCGCCGTTGTTGCTCGGGATCCTAACCGTGGCCGCCCTGTGTAGGTAACCATAATAAAATTATATATTGTTGGTGATATTTAAATACACACGTGTTGATTCTTTTCTCTCGTTAAAACTGTGTTTTTTTTCATATCTAAAAATTATAATTATTATCTTATTATATTTTGCAGTGCGCCGTAAAAGTGCCGTTGTATTAGTTTTTCGTATGTTTTTCGATTTTAATCTATTTTATTTTATTGTGTATTTTAAATGTTAAATTACAGCAATTAATATTATCAAAGTAGTGTTGCGCAGGTACTTCATTAATTATACTTAACAGCTCGTGAATTTGTTTTTTTCTTTTAATAATTTAAAAGTTCTAAAGACACTATATTGTAAGAGCGAAACGAACTGCCGAATGGTATTTATACACAATGTATGATTATAAATATTTTTATGTTAAAAGTCCGATGAAGTCTTTTGCTAACACCAATGATCCGTATAATGTTTTAATGTCTACATTTAATTGATTGCTTTCGAGTGTTCGAGCGACTGGAAAGTGGAAACCTTTTTATACATGTAAATGCAATGAGTAATAACTAATTAGTAATGACAAACCTAGGAATTATTCTAAGCTTCATAGTTTTCGAGACTAATAAATGAATTATAATATGTTTAACTTAAATTATATGCCGAGTGTTTGGTTTTTTGGTTATTGTTATCTATTTTCCTAATGTACAAATATGTAATTCTATTAACAATAAGATTAGATGACATAATGTCAAGGAAACTTTAAAAAATAAGTATAATAACCTAACCTAACCGGATAGACAACGTATAAGACAAACATTTAATATTGAACTTGTTTTTAATTTTTAGTTTGTAGTTTTTTAGTTATTATTGATTATCTATGTTTATTGTTTTAAAACACAATTTCTATACGTTTTTACTATAGGTAGGTACTTAAATATTTTTTTACGAGCTTTTTAAGTAAATATAGTCGACCAAATAAATTATAAAGGGATTATTATTAATTGAATAGAATCGGATCTATTTAGGTAGGTAATTTAATTAAAATTTATAATTAAATTAAATTGTAATAATTAATTAAAATAAGTTCTATAATATTAATAATTATATTGTACAATGGATTAAAAACGTTTTTTTGCTTATTGAATATATGCATGGTAGTAATTCTTTATAATATAGTATAATACATTTAAATTAACGATATCTACTTTTAAACTGTCATTCAAATTGTGAGAATAAACTAAATGGTTAGGTTCCTCCTAAAACTCAAAATAATAGTTAGGTTTTAAATAATTGCGTAATTCGTATAATATATATTTTAAATTATTATTATCTAATTGAATGTAATATCTAATTGTGTATCAGGACGGAGAAGATATTATTTTGTTCATCATTTATTTGTATGTTTGGTAAATTAGTAGTGTTATGATATTAATTATTTTGCTTAGAATTTTGCAGAAAATCGTTTTATACAGAGGGCATAACGAATGCGAAACGTGAAAATAAACTGTTTTA